TTTTTTTTTTTTAAAGATCGTTTCGTTAGGTGTTACATCCGATTATAAATCACTCTCTTGCGAAGGACTTTCTGTCTCCTCTCACCCACACTGTGCTCACCCAGCACACTGCAGGCCCCAACAACACAGCCACTCACTTTATCACTCACCCACTCACTCCGGCTCACCTACTCACCCACTTAGTTTACTCACCAACACACCCACTCAACCACCACACTGCAGGTCTCAACAAAACACTCACCCACTCAATCTCTCGCTCACCCACACACTCACTCACTCACCCACTCAACCACCACATTTCAGATCCCAACAAAACACTCACCCACTCACTCACTCTGTCACTTACCCACGTGCTCAACTACTAACGCACCCACTCAATCTCTCGCTCACCCACACACTCACTCACCCACTCAACCACCACATTTCAGATCCCAACAAAACACTCACCCACTCACTCACTCTGTCACTTACCCACGTGCTCAACTACTAACGCACCCACTCAATCTCTCGCTCACCCACACACACACTCACTCACCCACTCAACCACCACATTTCAGATCCCAACAAAACACTCACCCACTCACTCACTCTGTCACTTACCCACGTGCTCAACTACTAACGCACCCACTCAATCTCTCGCTCACCCACACACACACTCACTCACCCACTCAACCACCACATTTCAGGTCCGAACAAAACACTCACCCACTCACTCACTCTGTCACTCACCCACTTACTCGACTGCTCACTCGCCCACACTGACCCACTCACTGGCTCTCCTGCTCACCCACTCACACACTCACCCACCTACTCTGCTCGCCCACTCAACCACCAGGCTGCAACTCACAACACCCCTCTCACTCTCCGCTCATTCCCTCGCACTCGACGTTGGAATTCCTTCCCGTCGTCTCTTTTCTCCAATCTCAATTCGAGAGACGTGTGAACCCTTTGCCTGCTGGACACCTCCGACAATGTTCACAGCTGCGGGGCTTGCGGTGAACACCACGGACGCGCGTCAAGCAGCAACCTCTCGGCTATGGGGCCGTCCATAAATGACGTCACGCACCTGGGTGGGGGGGGGTCAGACATTTGTGACGATGTGTGACGAGGGAGGGGGGGGGGTTGAGAAATGTGACGTCACATCAAAATGCGCAACTTTAAATAAATATAGACAACACGTTATACTTAATTAAATAGACTTTTTAATGAATGTTTTCTCCTACAACAGAGTGCAGCGTCACATTAAACACGCACTACAATGACAAAAGCTTAAAGCGATTTGAAGCATGTTTTATTTTTTTGGGGTGGAGGGGCAGAGCTTTGTGACGTCATATTTGAGGGGGGGGTCTGACTTTTTGTGACGCCGTGTGACGAGGGGGGGGGTCAAAAATCGTTCAAAATCGCGTGACGTCATTTATGGACGGCCCTTATGACAAGCAGCACCAATGCACACACAAAAAAAAAACAAATCCCTGGCCAACAAATCCCAAATACCGCTGCCCGGGTCATCTTCAGTCTCCCCCACCACTGCCAAACATCGCCTCTCCTCGTGCTGCTACGCTGGCTTCCCCGTCTGCTGTCATGGTTGCCTTGGCGAGTTCCTCACCCTCGTCGACAAACGCCTCCGTGGTTTCGCTCCAGCGTATCATCATCTCGCCTGCACGCTCCTTGTCGCCCCTCTGCAGTTCACAATCACAGCCGTCTCTCTGTCTCTGCCCCCCCCCCCCACCCCCACCCACCGTCCTCCCTGTGCCCAATCACAATTCCCTTCTGACACCCCTCGCACTGGCTACGTACGGTGCGAAAGAAGTTCAACATACGTGCACGTCAAACAAGCGGCCTCACTGTCGATTTTTCGTTATCCCCCCCCCCCCCCCCCCCCCAAAAACACTCACTTGCTTTCCCTCGATTACTCCAACTCCCCTTAACTCTCCCTCCTCCCATCACGAACTCCATCCTTCTTCGCAACTTCCAGTCCCATCCGTCATCGCACTCACTCGCCATCGACCACTCGCTGCCGCTTTCATCATCGTTTATTTCACCCGTCGTCGTCATATTCATCACGCACTGCCATCCTTCTCATGAACCCATCTCATATCATCACGCTGAACCGCTGCATGAATTGCTAACACTGCTCAAGGCGCTATACGGTAAATTGAAGTAAGAGAAAAGATGCCTCGCGTTATGTCCACCACCCCCCCCTCCCCTTAGCACGTGAACTTTGCAGTAGCCACTGAATGGATGACCACACGTCTGGGCACCCTCCTGGCTGGAGATCGCACCACGTCAACGCGTTGCGTTTCACGTACATTGCGGGGACGCGGTGGCACGGTGATTAGTGCGGCAGCGTCATGAACCGAACTAGTTTATATATATATATTTTTACTTTACCAGGCAAGGCCCCACTGAGCTATGTAGCTATTTTTCAGAAGCGACCTGGCCACAAATGATAGCTCCACGAAGTGGCTTATCATCGTGTGTGAGGTTTATTTCAGCCAAATGCTCTTAAACGCACGTTGAATCTAAATGTGGAGGGAAAACTCCGGATAAAAATCCACGCAACCACGGGGAGAAAGCCGTGCAGAGTCCAAATATACAAGCGTCAGGGTCGTGATGGAATCCATAACCTCTTGTATAAAGGCGACCAGGTGTGGAATAAACATCATGTCATGGACCTGTCTGTGAAAGACTGGAGCCCCCGACGCAACAGTGGAAGTTTTTACATCTCTCTCTCTCTGTGGGTTTTGCAGTCGCTGTGAAAAATCCACAGAGAGGTTTGTGACGACGATGCTCCGTCAGGGCGTGGCTCGCAGTCTCAATTTCGCACAATTTGCAAGATGTGGGCAGCAGTGGTATGGGTTCGATCCCTGGTCTTGGCATCCCTAGTAGCTACGTGAAGCAGACCTGAGCCTCCCCGAGGTAAACGCAGCATGAAACCATTGCTCGTGGAGCATGTGAGTGTGTCAGCATCTCCACGGAACATACAAGGTAGTGCTGGCTGTACCACCCCATTGTGTAGCCTGAATAGGCGCTTACTAACAGTAAATGAACTGCCATTATACAATGCCTTTGTGCACGTGTGCGCGTTTGTAAAGAATGTAAAATGCTATTTAAAAAAAAGACACACATTTCTATAAAAAGTCACCTGAAGTTTTTATTTTATTTTTTAAACCGAGCCCTGAATCGTCCAATAAAAATCCAGTGCTCTACGGCGCAGTGTCGTAATGGTGGCAAAGGGCTCTCTCATAATATTGAGACCAGATGTAATCAGGGGTGCATTTATTGTCCGGCTGCCGATTTAACAACGGGAGAGGAGGTCTGTGAAGGGCTCCAAGTAGACACTCGTCTGCGGCGGGTTCGCTACTACACTGTGTGCCGGCGACGGTCCACATTTATTTTTTTTATTTGAAAAAATTCCAGCACGTTACATTTTCTTTTATATACTGTACATTTATATGCTCGGACATTAAAACGAACCGCACATTTACTCAAATTGAGAATCGTAGATTGCAGTCATCACTGGCAGACTAAATTCTCGTTTGTAGAGGCCGAGAGTCTGTGGGTAACCGTGTACCCACAGAGACAGCTGCCACTGGGGGTACCCTTTTAAATGTGTTCAGATGAGATGCGGTGTGAAGGCGCTCTTGAGATGCCCCGGCGTAGAGGATATTACCCTCGTTCGAAAACCAAAATCACGACCATCAGAATCTGAATATGTTTTGAAACCGGAGGAGTCCGATGAGCTATATATCTCTTTATTTTTACCAATGACCCTTCTCATCATCATGGCCGTGGGCTCGGGAACTATCACGCATGGCGGAGTCACGCACCGTGGGGTGAGCTTTCGTGATAGGAAAGTAATTCCCCCCGTGGAATCGTCTGCCCTGGTAAATGTTTACTGCTCACTCAAGGGCCATCAGGAGTGTCGATTTGCCCCTCGACTCTGCTTATATATGTCAGCGTTAGGTACGTGTGTGTGTGAAAGCATGGCTGTGTTTCTCTGTGCTTGTATGAACAATGATGATCGTGTCAGTATGCGTAGGTGAGGGTTGTGTGTGTGGGGGTGTGGTGGCGAAGAGAACCCGGACCACACGGGGTCGATTCCCGCTCACGGTCAACAGCAGTGGCGATTATCCAAACCGGCCCTCGGCCTCGCCAAGGTGTGGAAACATCAGCAGAGGAGAAATCACGACGGCCGGGCATGGTGCTCACCACACTCTTGCCCGTGTCAGCTTTCACAGGTGCTCACTACACCGGCATTCGCCCCAACGGTACCTTGGGGGCACCCACGTACAAATGAAAAGGGGTAGCACGACAAGGTGACGCTCTCTCGCCATAGCAGTGATTCACACAGCGACATCGTCAGATGATTTGCCGACAGGTGCATCGGAGAAGCAGAGGCAGAGGAGAGACACCGAAACAGCTCAACCGAACGTGCGCACCCAGGGCGATGGCTCGGAAGCAGTCCCCTTGGCGAGCAACCCGCGCGTTCACAGCTCTGTCAACCCGCGCGTTCACAGCTCTGTCAACCCGCGCGTTCACAGCTCTGTCAACCCGCGCGTTCACAGCTCTGTCAACCCGCGCGTTCACAGCTCTGTCAACCCGCGCGTTCACAGCTCTGTCAACCCGCGCGTTCACAGCTCTGTCAACCCGCGCGTTCACAGCTCTGTCAACCCGCGCGTTCACAGCTCTGTCAACCCGCGCTTTCACAGCTCTGTCAACCCGCGCGTTCACAGCTCTGTCAACCCGCGCGTTCACAGCTCTGTCAACCCGCGCGTTCACAGCTCTGTCAACCCGCGCGTTCACAGCTCTGTCAACCCGCGCGTTCACAGCTCTGTCAACCCGCGCGTTCACAGCTCTGTCAACCCGCGCGTTCACAGCTCTGTGCCGAAGCAGTGGGTGGTGATGGAGGCTAAAACGAGGGATCGTCGCGTGCGTCTCTCCCCCCCTCTCCTCCTCCTCTCTTCGGCTCTGTGTCCCGCGGGCCCGCTTGATCGCAGACACCCGCTCTTCCCTCTGCTGGCGCTCGTCTTTGAGAAGTGCGAGCTGGCCACCTGCACGCCCAGGGAGCCCGGCATCGCCGGCGGGGACGTCTGCTCGTCGGCGTCGTTCAGCGAGGACATCGCGGTGTTTGCCAAACAGGTGCGGGGTGTTCCACGCACACACAAAGACAAAAGATCCCCCCCCCGTATAGCCTTAACAGACCGTTGGGGCAAGTGCTGTTAGCGAGCAGCGCCTATGAAGGCCGGAACAGCACACGAGGGGAGCCAGCACCATGCCCGGCCGCCTTTGTCTCTCTAGTGGCGATGTTTTTACACACCGCACCGGGTACACATGTGAGGCTGAGTATACCTAGGGGAGGCCCAGAACCCCTTTAGATTATCGTCACTGGTGTTGGCCGTGAGTGGGACTCGAACTCGGGTCGCCGGGTTTGTATCGCAGCGCGCTAACCGCTGCACTCCCGCTCCCCACACGCACGCACCAGAGCGCCCAACCAGAACACGAAATCGGAGTCCACCGCTAACTTTGATGACCATGATCCGAAACGAAAATCGAAAAACGAATGCAAGTTTTTGCTCTGGGAAAAAAAAATTCTCCATAAAAAAGGATTTGGTTACCGGTTTTAACCGGTTCCAAAACTATTTTTTTTTCTTTTACAGCTTTGTAGGTGAGGCGTTATAAGTAAAATTGGCCGAGATCCCTCAGTCAAATCCACGGTCATCACGCGAGAGGGCACATTGTCCGTGGTCGCTAAAGCGACGCAAGACGACGAGGGGAGATGGATGCACTGCCTCACTCAGACACGGACACACGCATCGAGACACAGACAGACAACACAGAGGGACAATTACGGAGCGAGAGATGCCAGGTTTTCCCGATTAGTGAAAGTGTATTTTCTCTCCAGATTTTCGCAGTAAAATTTAATGAGGGATTAACCGCCGCGTTATCTTGAACGCGTTCATTAGAGTGGGAATTAAGGTAAATACGATAAACGGCGCGCGCGGCGTTCACTGCTTCGTTTGATTGCCTGCGATGAATCTCGCGAAACGATGCTCTGTGCAGTTGTGATCACGATGGCGTAGAGCAAGAACACCCCACGATAAAATTATTTAAATAAAAAAATAGCGGCCAATTCTGAAAGAAATCCTTCGCGAGGTGAACCTGGTCGCTCTACGTAGATTTCACAATAGAGGTTTTTTTTTTGGGGGGGGGGGTCATTAAACGCACCACCACCCGACGCGTGTTGTAGCAAAGCCACAAAATTGTAAATGTCGTGGCTTGGCTCTCCAACACAGCGGTGTGCTGTACTTGTTAACGATTCGGCATGTTTTGTTTACGTGACAAACATTACTAATTGGCTGTGTGGGGTGCTGGCGGGTTTAACGACACTGGTATATATTTACGCGTTCTAACGCAACAAAACCTGTATTATGGTCGCGAAAGCCTACGCGTTAAACTCGACGTAGATTCCACGCTCAGGAGAAGCCCCCCCACCTCTCCCCCCCCCCCCCCCCCCCCCCGTGGATGGAACGACGGCATTTTGCTGTTGCATCGCATCACTGGCCCGCGCGCGCGTCTTGTCGCTGTGATTGCGAGACTCTCTCGCAGGACCTCTGTGACTGTCCCTTTGGCAATTTGCTCTCAAGAGGACTTTCAGAATGTCTTGAGAGGACTTTCAAGAAAGTCGCGGGCGGAAAGTCCCAGTCCTCTTGAGTTTTCGCCCGTGGATGCTGCGTCGGTACTTGGCCCAAAGTCTGCCACCGATCCTCCTCGTCCCAGCAGCAATTGCGGGCCTCTCCCAGAACACCGATTTATCGTTTGTATTTAAAACCGTAAACAACATTTTTTATTTACTCTACGAGGTAAAAGAAAGCGCTCCGTTAATTGTGCATACTATACTTGTCCTGTAAAGGACACGTTCCTATTTTTTTCCTTTTTATATTTTGTATAATATTTTTTAATACAAACGTATAGCAAGAAACTACTTCTTAAACTAAACTGAAACTGTAAACGAAACAGGGTAAGGCCAATTGAGCTATGTAGCTCTTGTTCAGAAGCGACCTGGCCACAAATGATAGTTCAACGAAGTGGCTTATTGCATGGAAATTTAAAGCGGACAAAATAATCTAAAACGCGTGACGTTGATTCTAAATGTGGAGGGAAAAACCGGAGGACCCGGAGACAATTCCACGTGAACACGGGGAAAGAGATAAAGACACGCAAACTCTAAATATACACCAAGTGTCAGGGTCAGGATCGAACCCATGATCTCCTGTATACAAGGTGAGGAAGCTAACATCTCGACACCGTGGTGAGATGACCCCAGCGACCTGGGTTCAGTTCGCAGCTATGCAGAGTGGAATTTGAACGCTGTTCCAGACATTTTCCCTTAGGTCAGCTCAGCCTTAAACGAGTAGCTTATGCATTTTGCAAGCGTCGGAAGTTTCGGAGATGATTGTATTTATCGCGGTGATGGCCCACGCTTCCCACGTCTTGCGCCATGCTGGCTTTGGCGGCTCCCGCTAACATCGCTCAGCCTGGCCATCTACGAGGCTGAGCGGGGCGCGTTAGCCTACGTGTGTGTGCGTCCGTGTGCGTCCATGTGCGTGCATCCGTGTGCGTGTCCACGTGTGTGCTTTTCGTGTGCCTGGCTGTGTGTGTGTTCATTATGCGTGCGTCCATATGCGTGTGCATGCACCTGTGTGCGTGCATCCGTGCGCGCGTCCACGTGTGTGCGTTCATGTGCCTGTCCGTTTGCGTGTCCATGGACATGTCCATGTGCGTGCGGGCGTGTGCTTGCGTCCGCGTGCGTGCATATGTGTGCGGGTAGCCTGCATCTGCTAAAGTAAGTGCATCAGAAAATGCATCGCGGTGCAAATTGTGGTTCCCCAGTTTTGCGCAGCGATGGGAGGCGGGTGCTGGATGCCCGTTTGTGAAGCCTCCATCAACGCCCTCCCCGCACGCATTCAAAAAAATGTAGGTCAGGCATTGCTGATGTCAGCCGAAATAAATAAATTACCAGGCCAAAAGAATAAAATAAAAATTCGATGAATGTAAAAAAAATAACAATAGTAATTACTCAAATGTATATTGGCAGAAATTGACATTATGGAATAAAAGGCTTGATACAAGATGATAAGAATAATGTTCAGCCCGTAATAACCCTTGGGTATGCTGTGTATTTGTATATTACCGTATCAACATTACACCGAGCTCAACCACACGGCACACATTATCCGAGAATTCCCCAGGCGCTCACACTAATAAAATTATATGGCAAGATGATGATGATAATAATAATACGGCACATGGAGCTACACAGCAGTGTTTTGCTTAAACCGACTTCTGTAGTGCAGAGCCCGACAATTCCTGTGTATCCTGGTAAATTCTCCCATGCTCTCACAATTCAAATAGAGTAGACCTACGACCAAAACTGAGTTTAAAACTAGCAAACTATTTTTTTTCCAGGTAAGACCCACTAAGCTGCATAGCTCTTTTTCAGAAGCGACCTGGCCATCACAAATGATGGCCCAACGAAGCGGCTTATCGCGTGGAAATTTATAGCAGCCGAATACTCTACAAGCACGTTGAATGGACCCTGCCTCTGGGCACTCTCCTGGCTGACGATCGCACCACGTTGTGTGGCGTTGGCCCTTGCGTGGATGTGCGGTGGCCTTTAAAGTACATTACGGGGAGCGGTCGCGCGGTGGTAGCGCGCTGTGCTATGAACCAAACAAAACTTTTTATTTTACTAGCTAAGGCCCAATGACCTATGTAGCTCTTTTTTCAGAAGCGACCTGACCACAAATAATGGCTCAACGAAGGGGCTTATCGTGTGTTAATTTATAGCAGCCAAATACTCTAAATGCGATCCAGATGTCGCCGGTTCGATCTCCCGGCACTGCAGTCGCAACGATGGGACTGGTTTCTTAAATTTCCTTCTGCCTCTGTCCACCCGGCGGTACGGATGGGTTGAACCGCAGTCGATCGGCAGTGGGGTAAAGTGCGAATACTCCCAGTGAGGGTGCTCCCACCTCTTCTAACAAATCTGGCCGGCGTGGAAGAGTAGACCAAACACCCTTTTGAGGTGCATTCTGAAGCTCCCTGGAGTTCTTCCGCCAGCGGTGGCATGATCAGGCATTTGCAGGGCTGCACCTTTCACCTGTTTTACTCTCACGAAAGCAACCAACGACGAGTTCGCCGCCGTGCTGTGGCCGTCCTCTCGTGAAGTGAAACGGACGTCGGTGGAACGTCTCGCCGCGTCCCCAAAGGGGGACGCCACTTCGCGAGGCCTCTTTTTTACGAGAAAAAATCCTCGACAGTGCCTGTTCCATGGTTGTTAAAGAGCAGCCCACTGCCACGTCCTCCGTTGAGTTGCGTTGACGTAAGTTATTCCTCTAATGCAGGGCAACGCGAAATTAAGTGAAAATGCGAAGATTTTAGTCGTTTTTTTTTTGGTGAAGCAAACTCGCTACACTTACCTGGATTCAAACCCAGGGTTTTCGTGGCACTGCCTCCGGGTAGCACCACGGGCTATTCGGGGACGATTCCTATTTCCCTCCGGGCCCTGGGAGCTTCTTCACACGAAGCCAAGCGGTAGCCGCATGCATTCGCCAGTTCCTGAGGAAGCTCTCCGCACGTGGTGCGAAACGTCGGACAACCCGGAAACTCACCTGAGAGCTGGTATCACGAGCCACCTGAGGTAGCCGGCAAAACTGCCCAAAGTTTTATTATTTTGCGTCAGTTAATTTTTTTTAGTGATTTTTGTTTACCAAGCGATTTGTTAAAGCGTCATGTGACGTCGTCTTGTTCTGGAGTGGGGCCAGTATTCGAACTGCAGTGATGTCACATTAACGAGGATAACCTGGGTAATTACTCGATATCTTCTAGGCGCAGCTGGGTCGGCCGGTCACGAGCACTGTTGCTGCCAAGACAGTGTGTGTGGAAGTGTAATCACTGGTTCCATTCCAGCTCAGCGTCTCCACATATGAAGTGTCTCCACATCTAAATACAAAAAAAAAACAGTCCGCCCGGGTCCATTGGCCTCTTTCTCCGCTTTCCAGACCCATTTATTTCCCAGTAGCATCCGTTCAAGGGCGCACATTCTCAGAGGCCGACGTTTGACCGTCCGGGTCACATCAGCAGAGTCGGGCACGTGAATCAAGACCGCCGTTGGGTTTGCTGGCCAATCTCCGTGCCTGCTCGCCGCTCTGGAGGGAGGGCCGACTGGACACCAAAAAAAAACACTCCACTCCACAGGGAGGCTTCTCCATAATAGAGAGGGGAGTTATTACTACACGCTTTCTATTAACTCACTCTGTCTGTTGTTGTCGTATCCTCAAATCTTGTAACTCGATTTTAACCCACTTCACAATGTGGTATCGACTGCAAACGTGGTATACTTATGTCATACTGATGACAATACTATATTCTATCATAAAACAAATAAAAAAAGTATTTTCAACATTATTTTGTATATGTTATGTTTCGGCTTGGGTCTAATTGTCCACGCTCAACTGACGTTGGCTGTAAATCACCACGGTCCCTTACGTTGTGTCGGGGACACTTACTGGAGTCGTGGAGTTCTTCCATTACGAGTACGGTACATTTCATTAAAGCGTGTTTTTAAAAAAAAGTATTTTTTAAATATTACTTATTGTGTAACTCTGAACACACGAGGCATGGCTCTGGGAGCTGAGTCTGGTGAGTAATAGATTTCGACATTTTGCAGGCAAGCGCGCAAGCGAGGACGCTTTTTTAGAAGAAAAAAATAACGAGAGCGCTCTCTCATAATTGTCATGAACCTCATGACGGTACCCCGGGGTACCATAGTTCCCCGGGGTACCATAGTTCCCCGGGGTACCATAGTTCCCCGGGGTACCATAGTTCCCCGGGGTACCATAGTTCCCCGGGGTACCATAGTTCCCCGGGGTACCATAGTCGCCCGGCTCTCGCATAGTGTCCGTGATGCAGTCACTGTTAGTCTGTTGATGGTCGGCGATGCGGCCATCGACTTATCTTGACGAGCTGTACACGATGCACCACCACTACGGTGTGTGCGAGCGTTCAGGGTTTCGGCGCATCGTCCTCGCCGCGTTTCGACATCGCGGAGTGTGGCACTCATTTCGGATTGATTGGTTACCCCAGTCGTGGAGTTAAGTAACACCCCTGGGAAAAAATAGTGTCCCAGAAATTTAATATTGAATTGTCTCGGCCAATTTTATATTATTGGGTACCCCGGGGTACCGCCATCAGGAAGCGCCCGGCACGCGGAGCGAAACGTCGGACACCGTGCCGAACAACTCAACCCGAGGGGATCCTTTTGATGACCCCTGAACGCGAGATTCAAATCGCGGCACAGAGACTCCGCGACTTACGAACAGACACAAGGGCCCTCCCTCGTTCGTAAGTAGGGGAGTCGCTGTATAAACATGGCTTTGGGGTGCCCCGAGGCTGGCGGGATGGTTTAGTTTGTAGGTGTTTGGGTGATTCGTTTACCTTCCTTGTACTTTGCACTTCTATTATATTTCTGTTTTGTTTGCTGTTGCAACGTTGTCCTGTTGGACATCTGTGATAAAGAGCTTCATGGCTCCATCGGAATCTTTGAGTTTAAATATAAATAAGCATTCTGATTCTGCTCGATGGATTACCTTGCCCACCGTCACACTGCCTGCAAGGCGGTCCTGTAACTTGTGAAAGTGCTCGCTGACCTCACGCGCCATGCACACTGCTGGACATCTGGGAACTGACTCGGACGTCTGTGAAAAAGAGCTGTAAAGCTCATCGGATTCCTCAAGTATAAATGTATATTCTGATCCTGACATTACAGGTTGGGTCTCGTGTACCGTGCACACTGTAGAGATGCACACACACACGCACTGTGATGGGCATGACCCAGCGTTTTGATTTCATCCAGGAACGTAGTCGGGAACGGTGTTTCGGGAATATTTTTTGGCCAAGCCAAATCCATCCCGTCTCGTGTTGTCCTCGTTGTTAGACACTGCGGTGGTACGTGTGCAGTAGCGGTGGTACGTGTGCAGTAGTGGTGTGGGGTACGTGTGTAGTAGTGGTGTGAGGTACGTGTGCAGTAGCGGTGGTACGTGTGTAGTAGTGGTGTGGGGTACGTGTGCAGTAGTGGTGGTACGTGTGCAGTAGTGGTGTGGGGTACGTGTGCAGTAGTGGTGTGGGGTACGTGTGCAGTAGTGGTGTGGGGTACGTGTGTAGTAGTGGTGGTACGTGTGCAGTAGTGGTGTGGGGTACGTGTGCAGTAGTGGTGTGGGGTACGTGTGCAGTAGTGGTGGTACGTGTGCAGTAGTGGTGTGGGGTACGTGTGCAGTAGTGGTGGTACGTGTGCAGTAGTGGTGTGGGGTACGTGTGCAGTAGTGGTGTGGGGTACGTGTGCAGTAGTGGTGGTACGTGTGCAGTAGTGGTGTGGGGTACGTGTGCAGTAGTGGTGGTACGTGTGCAGTAGTAGTGTGGGGTACGGGTGCAGTATTGGTGTGGGGTACGTGTGCAGTAGTAGTGTGGGGTACGGGTGCAGTATTGGTGTGGGGTACGTGTGCAGTAGTGGTGGTACGTGTGCAGTAGTAGTGTGGGGTACGTGTGCAGTAGTGGTGGTACGTGTGCAGTAGTGGTGTGGGGTACGTGTGTAGTAGTGGTGTGGGGTACGGGTGCAGTATTGGTGTGGGGTACGTGTGCAGTAGTGGTGTGGGGTACGGGTGCAGTAGTGGTGTGGGGTACGGGTGCAGTAGTGGGGTGGGGTACGGGTGCAGTAGTGGGGTGGGGTACGGGTGCAGTAGTGGTGTGGGGTACGTGTGCAGTAGTAGTGGTGGTACGTGTGTAGTAGTGGTGGTACGGGTGCAGCAGTGGTGTGGGGAGCGGTGTCGCAGCGGATTAACGCGCCGCCACTTGTGAACCTGGCGAGTCGTGCTTGATTCCCGCTCACGGCCAACACCAATGGCGGTTTTCTAAACCAATCGCTGGGCCTCCCCTAGGTAGACTCAGCCTCAAACGGTGTGTAAACATCGCCACTGTGGCGAAAAAGGCAGCCGGGCATAGCGCTGGCCACCCACCTCCTCAGGTGCTTCTCGCTCACAGCCCCAATGGTCTGTGGAGGCTAAATGGGGGATCTTTGTCTTTGTCTCTGTGCTTGCCTGTACAGATACGTACGGAGAAGCCGCTCTTCTCATCCAACCCTGAGCTGGACAATCTGGTGAGTGGCTGAGGCTGTCACGTGCACATGGGGGCGGCCTGGCAGTAGCATGCAGAGGTGCGCACGCACAAGGGCACATCGTGGCACTGCTCAGGAACTGACCAATGGCTGTGAGTTGAAAAGAAAAAAAACTGATTAACAGATCTCAGTAGCCATAATCGAATTTCAACAGCTTGAGTGTATATTAAAATGTGTTTTATCCCTAACCGTTGACTCGACTCACAAATACGCCACGGTCATGCGACTGACCGGTCGCGTAAACCACGCTGTCGGATGTCTGCATCAAACCCTCGCCGTTAACCTCGCTCAATCCCGTCGAGGCTGCCTCCACCCCCTCCGCGTCTCAGATGTAGGGGGCACGCTGAGCCAGATCCTGCCCGAGGTCGCGAAAGTTGCTCGAGACCATCAGGAGCCCGCAGACTGAGTGGCATTCGCGTCGCAACGTCTGAGCGGCCCGTAGGCCCATAGCCATACTCGGTGCGATAAGCCACTTCGTTGCGCTGTCATTATCAGCAGCGATTCATGATCGTGGGCCACTTTCATGGACGTGGAATCGTGGCCACTCGAGTTTGGGATGCGTGCCACTGGTCAAATGCTACGGTGGCGAGATGTTAACTACCTCGCCTGGTATGCAGGAGGTCGTGGGTTCAATCCTGACCCTGACGCCTGCTGTATATTTGGAGTTTGCATGACGCTCTCCCCTCCACATTTAGAAGTGTGTGTTTTAGAGTATTTGGCTGCTGTACATTTCCACATGATAAGCCACTTCGTTGAGCTATAATTTCTGGCCAGGTCGCTTGAACTTCTAATTAAGCATGAATGACAATCCTTTACTTTCACATAATTCCTCACCGCTGGATCTCACACAAATTCGGTTTGCGAGCATTTGTGGCCCGGCGGTAGTGCAGTACACCGCTCGTTCCAGAAGTTCACGGTTCTAATATGACAGGCCGCCCTGGTCATTACTGCTGTGCGTACCAACCACGCAGATACGCGCCTTCCACTTCACAAAGGGGCGTTAACGATCCCCTGACGTAAATTCGAAACGAGTAGGCTGTTGTCTGCCGGCGGTATGGTCACATTTACAGAATTTGAACTATGACCCCAAATTACTCAATTGGGGTCACGCAGAGCGACATCATCGCTCTGTCCTGGCTGACTGCGCCCGTCTGTGAAGCACAGTCCTTTCCTTCGTGATAGCCCTGCGCTGTAATAATGGCGCGAATATCAAATATACATCCTTATCATTGCTATTCATGCAACCTCTTTGTGGTCGTTTGAGATGTGCCGGACTAGTGTGGTGGTGGTGGTGGGAGATGCTAACCCTCGTGTCTCTATTCTCCGTGCAGATGATTCAGGCCATCCAGGTGCTGAGGTTTCACCTGCTGGAGTTAGAGAAGGTATTTTGTGTGAGTGATTGTGTGAGGGAGTGAGTGAGTGATTTGGTGTGTGAGCGTGGGGAACTCTGGCTCAGTGGTGAGCATGTTGCGCTTAGAACCCAGTGACGAATATCTGAACTAGTCCTGGGCCTTCCCCTAGGTTGACTCAACCGCAAATGAGTACCTGGTGCAGTGTGTAAACGTGAGTACATGGGAGACAAAGTCGGCCTGGTGTGGTGCTGGCCATCCACCCCCCTCGTGTGCCATGTTGGCCTTTATAGGCGATCGCTAGCAGCACTTGCCCAACCCGTCTGTTAAAAGGCTATACGGGGTATCTTTGACTTTGTGACAATACTTCAACCCTGCTCGTCAGTGCGAGTTGGTGACCAACTCACCGCCGCTGATCTTTGCCTTCGAGTGGGTGATCATGGGAGTTAACGTTCGTGAGCGAGTGAGCGGCGACTGCGTGAATGAGCGTGTAAGCAAACGAGTGTCGTGTGGAATTAAAACAAATGACACGCGGCAGTTGGAAAACTACAATTTGACAAAACCATTGTGCACGATCTGAATATTCCTTGGACCTTCTCTAGGTTGACTCAGCCTTAAATAGGCACAAGGTATCATGTGTGAACATCAGCACTCGAGAGATAAAGGTGCTGGGCATGCATTTAATAGGTGCTGACAAACAGCGGTTGGCTGAGCCGAGTGCTGTTTGTGTTCAAGTGGCGATGTCCTCTCTCATTCCATGCTGCTGCCCCTGGGTTCCTCGCCATCACAGACTATTCATAACCGATTTTTGGGATGAGGCCGTCGCGTCGCAATGATCTGGCCAAATGTTTGTGCTCAGGACCTTCCACCACCCGACGCAGCCAAAGAATGACATTGTCACGTGCGGCGCGCGTTTTGCGAGGCGCCAGTTACTCTTGTGTCAGTGCACACCGGTGGGTTTGGAGAGCAGTTCCCTGGGCAAGATTTTGGCAACGCCTTTTTTATCTTCTGCGTACGGGTAATTTGCGCGCCGCGGTGCCCGCGGGTGCGTGCGTGCGTGCGAGGCCACGTGGGCCACTGTTTCCGCGAGGGAGCTCGCCGTTTGTCACAGCGGCATGGAGGCGGACGAGGCTGGAGGAGCAGGTGTTGGGACAGTTGCGGTCCGCGCGGATCCGGTGTCAAAACAATCGTCGCAAGAGCAGCGTAACGTCCCTCGCCACCGCAGCGTCGCGCGTCACCCACGTTGCCCCCCCCCCCCCCGCGCCAACTTAAACACAAACCACACACAGGGGGAATGCTGTCACCCCCACTGCACCCCCTCACTTCCGGTAATTCTCCCACGCACCATGGGATGTCCTAAACCCCCCCCCCCCCCGCCATTGTGCGCAACGGTCGTATCGCTCGCAACGTTACGGCTACCGCATCGCGCACTTTCAGATGCGCTTCTGCGGCCGTCTGGAACGCTCTTCCGATATTAGGCAGCCGCTATGCACTTTTGAATCTAGATTGAAAACCCATTCATTTAGAACTGATTTTTTTCGCGTTTAAATTCTCGTCCGTCCCCCGCACCTCCGATGAGCACGGATGGCTCCGTACGGTGCGAAAGAAGTTCAACGTACACACGTGCAAGGCATCGGTGGGGGAGGTGCCCGGGTATTCGCATCGGTTTGCTAGTGTAGATCCAGCTGTCAGAACCTTCTGAGGCCCTATCGCAGGACTCGGTCCCTCCTTCGCCGCTCGCCACGGTGGCGCTCGGCGGCGGTGTTTTGCGTGGTGCAAGGCCGTCCTCCTTCCTCGCCTCCGCGTTCCCATTCCTCCGTTTTCGACACGCCGGCTGCGCTCGCAGGAGGGAGGCCTCTTGCCGTCCTCGGTGGGGCTTCCAGACCTGGCTACGAGCTTTGAAGGGGGCCGCCGTCCGATCGACCGGGCCTGCCGGGCGCTCGCGCGCGTGCGGTGTTGTTGGGCGCCAGCCAAGCGCGGCGGCGGGTGCCCTCGGGTTTCCGTCGCCGCTTCCAAGTCTGCGTGAGCGAGGGAAAAATAAAAGAAAAGAAAAAAAAACGAATTTCGCACCGAGCGGCTCCATCGCCAAGCCGCCCGGGACGCGCGGCCCGCATTAACCCCGCTCGCCGCACTGTCAACGTCGATTTTCCAGATGTCTTTATTTTATGCAAGTTTATTCAAAGTTGCGCCCCGTCTGTCTCCCCAGAGGGTAATGCTATGCATGAGCGAGCGGCGCCCATGTCTGCACGCCGGGTTGGCCCGCCCGCGCGTGTACCCGGAGCGCGTGTACCCGCGTGTGCGCGTACCCGCGCGGTGCCCGCGCGCGTGTCATCGCGAGCCTGCCCGTTGGCGGGGGCGTCGCGGCCCCTCCGTCCCGTCGCGCCCGCACTCGTTGGTCCTCCTCGTCTTCCCGCTCTGCACCGATGCCGCTCTAGGCGGGCGCGGAGCCATCGGCGTTGAAATCCCCGCGCTGCTTGAACGACCAGAGGCAGACGTTGTGCTGCAGCCGAGGCGGTTGGAGCCTCAACTTCAGCCGAGGCAGGGAAGGGCGCTCCCCCTGAATTTTACGAATTCCGGTCACTACCTTTCCCTCCCTCCCTCCCTCCCTCCCTCCTTCCCTCCCTCCCCTGCCCCATCCCATAAAATTGGACCAAACCCCCCCCCCACCCCTTTATTTTCATCATACTTTTAAGCACCAACCAATAACTGCATGAACAGAAACAAGACGTAATGTTTAATTGTGAATCAGTGTTGATAGAGAAATTATAGTGAAATCAATCAGGATGTGATTGCATCAGGCGCAGTGGAAACGCTTCGTCGCGGCAACGGCTCCACCAGCAACGGTGACCGCGCATGTAAACACACTCCGTGTGTCCGTAACCAGTTGGAAACCCATTGAGATGGGCGATCTCATTCGTAAGTATGACCAAAGTTACCGGGAGTCTCTTACCATTACGTGTTTACTTTTGTAAGGCTTTGTGGGGACGCGTGTTTGGCTTTGGGATTTTGGCTGACATTTGCATGAAAGAGCTTGAATTTCTTAAGAGTAGAGCGAAACAGTTCGGCGGGTGCCAAACATGCGGCAGACAGCAGGCGTGGATTTATATATTTTTTAACAAAAATAGAACAGTTAAACGGAGATTTAAGTTTTCCGTAGCCTTGACTAAAAATTAACATTTCAACTTTATTTGTGCGTCGACTTCGTTCGCCCCCTCCCGCTGCCGCTGCTTGTGTCACCCCTCCTCCCCCGCCCGGTCTCCGTAGACCAAAAAGGTCAAACAAGGAGTTGGGAGTGGGAAAGTGGCACGAGGGTAAATGTCACCGGTGAGTTGCAGCTGTAACGCTCGCCGATCGCGGCTGCGCCAACCGCTCGCTGTAGAACACGTGGCTTGTGGAAGCAGCAGCAGCAGCAGCAGCAGAAGTCGCACCCTGGTCTCTTTGTTTCAGAATCCTTGTCCGGCATCAAACTTTAAACGCCGCCATTCTGTGAACGTGGCAGTCGGAACTGTGCTCACCTCCACGTATAGAAGCGACGCTCATCACGTACTGGTACGCGTGTGGCAATTTTCACGATGCCTTGACTTTCGTCCACTTGACTTTCGTCACTTCAAATTTCGTCCACGCGCTTTCCTCTTTCGTCCGATTTCATCCCGAACCTTCCACGACGTTCGCCACACGCGCCCTTTTTTTCGTTCAATCTTTGAATAGAAGTCGTTCGGTGAGCATCTCTTATATTTGTGTTTATTCATATATTATTAATAGTGTACTTGTGTATGTGATTATACTGTGAACAATTCATAGTTATTTTTTTGTGATAACGGTATAATACTATAGTGTTTATCGTTGTTTTGTGATTATAAAACACGTGTGCAGTATTCATACTGTGCTTATTTTTGTGATTACTGTAAAATGCTTATTTTTGTGCTTTAATATAGTCATAATGGGTCCTAAGTGTGGTGATAGTAAAGCTAAAAGAACCCATAAGGTTCTCAATTTGCAAGATAAGCTTAGCATAATCAAACTTAACGAGCAAGGCTAAATGAAGGCCCTGCTTTGACATTCGTCCATATTTGACATTCGTCCATGCTCTGGTCCCTAACCAGACGAAAGTGCAAAGTATTCCTGTTTAGCTCTTTTTCAGAAGTGACCTCGCCACAAATGGTAGCTCAACGAAGGGGCCGATTGTGTGGAAACATCCACACGATCACAAGGAGAGAGACACGCAAACTCCAAATATACAGGCGTCAGGGTCAGGATCGAACCCGCGACCTCATTCGTAGCAGGCGAGAGATTATTTGCCAATCGCCCGGCGTGGTGTCCTCACGCGCTCACTGTTATTCACACCCAGGACAAGTGAGTGCCCTAAACTTATAGGAAGTATCGATACGTACAATACATTCTACTCGCGAACAGGGTTAAAAATGTAGACGCCCTGTACATTTTAGTCCATTCCTGTTCATATAATCTCCATGAGAGAGATTCCATCCGATTTAGAGATGGCTAGAGCCAGAGCCCCAGGACCTTACAGACAATGTAAGTCACAGCACATGCTGTTAAAGAGAAACGATACCCTCCTGGAAACTGGTCATTGACCCAACTAGCACTTGAACAATGGCAGGTCAATTGTTTTTTACCAATTGACTTTTCTGTCTCTTGTTTCTTAATGGAAGCCCAGTGATAATGACGAGGCTTGACTTGTGCAATCGGCCAATCGGCAGCGAGTGTTTCCGCTCACGGCCGCGTGCTCAGCGCCCATCTCCGGCGGCCACGCAGGGACCCACGACGAACGTGACTCTCTTGTTGCCTGGCTCCTCTTCAGGCTCACATAGGTGCTTCATACAGGGCCACCACCTGTCCGGGTTTGACCCAGGCGGTCTGCGATTCGGCATCTGTATTCGGGTGGCAGCAGGAATTGATTTGCACCGAGATCTGGTGCCGCTGAGTTGAACGTTATCACAGGATTACTGCACGGTGTTGATAGGCCTAGGCGAGGGGTTGGCAACCAAAATAACAAGAAGAGCGTTTTGTTATTCGGTTCAAAACCTAATAATTTCAAGAGCCGCAATGCATACGAGACGGTGGTCCGTAAAAAGTAACGTCACTCAGCCGTCCTTAAGGAGCTCCAGAGCCGCAGGTTGCCGGCCCCTGGCCTAGGCTGACTGAGCCACGTGCCCAGGTTTGGTCAGAGGTGGTCAAGGTGGCAGCCCTAGTAGAATCCCTCTATTCCGCTGTACAAAGACATCTTTAACCAAAGGGAATCAGTGCCAGACAAGAACACATCTGTGTAAAGCAAAACCGAAATGAATACAAACCATTTAAATTGTACCCATTTGTACTCGCACATAAAAAATGGTTACATATAAAAAAAAGTTTATATATTAAATGAGAACTGCGGTAATTCGAGTCAAATGAAAAGGATTTCATATAAATAATGTAATTTCCTGCATTATCAGCTTCTGCAGCACTTACATTTGTGATTTCAAATGAGTGTCAATATTTGAAGTTCAATTAAATTCAACTGATAGGGATTGAATGTGACAGACACGCGCAGTGTAACGCTCACAGCTGTGACTTCATACTGATTTTAGTTTTATTATTATTATAAATTTCACGTGCGATGCGAAATTCGGAGGAGAAAGTGCGGTCCCTATCCTGGTGTTTGAGGAGTGTGCCAGACTGAGCAACCATTAAAAGCATTCATCATCGTCTCAGTTTTTTTTACCTTTTACAAATAATGGTTTTGGAACGTTCAAAATCAGCGCGTGGATTCTTTGGGCCTTCTACAGTATTCCCTTGTTATTCGTGAGGGATACGTTCCGGAGATGCTCGTGAGTGAGCGAATTTCGGGGATAATGATGTTTGCCTACGAAAACCTACCTTTTAAATGAATTATAAATAACCTTTTAAATACATGAAAACTATCCCGTCGCTTTATCTCATCATCACTTTCTCGCATCACATTCTCTCTCATCACTTTATCTCGTCACATTCTCGCTCTCTCTCGATGCAGTCGTATAGAGTTCCAAGATGCCACTTGCGGATAGCCAAAATCGTGAATAACGAGGGAATGGATGTATTTTGTCAAAACATTTAATGACCGTGGATTAACTTCACTTTGTAGACACCGCATTCATCGAGCGATCATTGCATTGGCTCGACTTTGCGTGAACGGAGCAGACATCTGGGGTCATTGGCATCACAGCCGTCGCTGGTGCAACTGACGAACCGCACCGCTTGCTCATGCGGCGATCCGACCGCAAAGAAGTCGATTTTGAATGAAAATATTGGGGCACAGGTGCGTGTGTTGAACTTCTTTTGCACCGTACGTAGACAACCCTGCTAATCAGAGGAGCGGGGGAAGGACGACAAACTAAACACACACCAAGCGGTTCTAAAGAGATGAGTTTTCAATTTAATATAGTGGTGTAGTGTACAGGTATAGTAGTGTAGTGTATGATGTAGTGTATAGCGTAGTGTGTGCAGTGTATAGTAGAGTGTATATCAATGTGTATGTATGTTGAACTTCTTTCGCACCGTACGTAGCCAACCGTGCTAATCGGAGGTGTGTGCCAAGCCCGCCGCATGCGATTGAAGGAATCATCACGATTCGGTGTCACCATGGTCTCGGGATGTCCCCTGAATAGCGCTTGGGAACCCTGGTGACCGCGTTGTCTGTAAAACATGCGGCCTGTTGCGTTGAGACGAGGACAATTGAATGAATGAAAGAAAGAACGACTCACTGCATGGCGGTACATGGGGAGGAGATGTTATGATAAAAGCGGTTTTGTAAAGGATTACAAAATGATGATTGCGTACTCTTTGGTTCTTTCGGTAAAGTCACGTAGGTATAAAATAAAATAAATCACTGATTATTTTTTTTATTGATTTTATTTGTCACTGCACCTCTGACAAACACCACCTGGCCAGTGAATTGGAACATGTACGCCTGGCCCTGAAGATGAATGGATACTCTGACCATACTATCCGCAAAGCTGTTTATCCCACCATACAGAAACAACCACCTGATACTCCGATCAAAACCATCACGTTTCCATACATAGCAGGTGTTACCAAAAAGATTTCCAAAATTCTAAACAAACACAAGATCCAGGCCCGATTCAGTACAGTACACAAAATCCGTGATCTGATCCCATCCGTAAAGGATGTCATCCCTGACTTACAATACCCTGGTGTCAAGAAACTGAGTTGCATTTGTAGTGATTGTTACATTGGAGAAACGAAACGACAAGTATCTGAACGCATTTGCGTCACAAGTCAGATTTGAAACAGGGTAGGACGAATGATTCTGCCGTGGCTGATCATTGCTACAACGCCGTGGGTTCTCATGATATTGTTTTCTCCGATACCAAAGTGCTCTGCAAGCCGTCTGGATACCACCAAAGATTTGTCCATGAAGCCATACAGATATACAAACGTAGACATAACTTCAACCGAGAGGCTGGATTCAAATTGAGCAATCATTGTAAGGATGTTATAAACCAAGTTAAACTTTAGCTGCCTGAAAGTTTATATTCATATCCATATCTCCGGTCTTTTACTCCCAGCCTTACACACTACCATCACTAGGAAATTTGACTTGCAATGTTTCAATCGTGTAAAGTTGTCTTCCATCCCACTCTCCCCCGCCCGCGCCACCCCCTCCCCCATCCGTGGTGCATGAGCAGGAGCTTCACCATCCCCGTCTCCCAACACTCCCCCCCCCACCCTGCATCCGTCCTCCCTGGCTCCTCCCCCCTCCTCTTACCCTATATGATAATAATCCCTTATCACAAATAGCTCTCTGCAGTAATTTTTCTGTGCCAGTTACACCTGATGACGGAAGCTTTTGTTGCCTCCGAAACGTCGTGATTTGATTTAGTTGTTTTCAATTGTTGTTTTCTCTTAACTTTATTTTATTTTTACCTACGTGACTTTACCAAAATAACTTATCTTCTGTTATCATTGCAGTGTGATACGAGCTTTTCGGGGGATCATCATGTACCATAAAATAACTTCCCTTTGCGTGTGTCATTTGTATGGGCTCCACGGTGGTGAGATGTTAACTACCTCGTCTGGTATGCAAGAGGTCGTGGGTTCAATCCCGACCCCGACGCCTGCTGCTGTATATTTGAAGTTTGCAGGTTCTCCCCGTGCTCGCGTTGATTTTCCTCCGGGTCCTCCACTTTTTCCCCTCCACATTTAGAATGAACATCACGCGTTTAGACTCTGTGAATGCTATAAATGTTCACGTGATGAGTCACTTCGTGGAGCTCTCATTTGTGATAGCCACGTCGCTTCTGAAAAAGGGCTACGCAGCTCAGTGGGCCTGGTAAAATAAAACAATGTAATAGTTAAAGACCTCGATTTGTCTCCACTGCTGCTGGTAGGCGAAGCCTCTTTTGAGCCTTCCCCTCGCGATGCCGTCCGCAGGTCCACGAGCTGTGCGACAACTTCTGCCACCGCTACATCAGCTGCCTCAAGGGCAAAATGCCCATCGACCTCGTGATCGAGGAGCGCGAGGGCGAGGGTGGCGGGAGGGGCGACATGGACGACCTGCCCGCCCCGAGCAGCCATGCGGGAGACCAGGTGAAGCGTCGCCCGCTCTCGCCCACTCGCGCGTGAACACGCTCTCTCTCTCTCTCTTGCGCTCACACGCGCGCACCACACGCAAATTCAAAGGATCCCCCGCATCGCCTGAACCGACTGTTGGGGGTGGGTGGCCAGCACCGCGCCCGGCCGGCACCATGCCCGGCCGCCTTTGTCTCCCCCGGTGGTGAGGATTACAGATCGCATCAGGCCCTCAACCTAAGAGAGGCCCAGGACCGGTTCAGAGAATTGTCACCGGCGGTGGCCGTGAGCGGGAATGGAACTCGGGTTCGTAACGCGGTGCGCTAACTTTGCCGCTCGCCACACTCCGTCATTCACACAGTCTCGTATACACTCACTTTCAGCAGCACTGGTTCAATACAAGCAGAATGAGACGTAGCAAAGAGTTCACTCTGACAATTGACAAAAATTGCCCTGCGTGAATGACTAAAATGGCCGAATGGGGCATTTTTTTCTCCTCGATAAAGTCCACAGCAGGGTGCAATGATAGTCAACAATGCTTCACGAATTGGGCCCTCGGGTCTGCCCTCTCAAAGCATTCACACAGCACAGAGCTCTTTATTGTCACTCGACCATCGCTTCGCCTGCAAAGTGATCGTTTGATTGAACACCTGTAAGTCATTGGGAGCCAGGCCTCGTGAGTGTGGATTTCTCCACATTTCTTGTCTTTCCGATACCTTCACTCCACTCCTCCTCCACCACCGCCCCCACCCCTCACCAGCCCCAATATTTTTCCTGGGCGTTTCTGATATTTTCACGTTTCGCTTGACGCACGCACGCACGCATGCACGCAAACACCCCCCTTGACAGCCTGTTGGGGTGGCACTGTCAGCGAGCGCCTGTTAAGGCAGGCGCCGCAACACTGCGTGGCGATGCCGACCTCGGCGCCTCTCCTGCCCAGAGGCGCACCTAGAAACCTCTCCCATGCAGGGAGAGGGGCGGGCGGGTGAAATGTTAAGCCTTTTGAATCGGGCCCTACATTAATAATAATAGAACATTAAAGTATTTTCTCCGGTAATTATCAATATAATACCAATTTTTGGGGTCTCAATGTGGAGGGGTGGGCTGCTTAGACCCCCCCCCCACCCCCAGATCTGCTACTGCTCCTAACCACCTTTGTATCCCCAATGATTATGTTTGTGTTTATATAAAAACCATAGCACGGCCACACGCAGCGGCCGTATGGCACATCTCACTGTGTCTCCCTTGCCCTATCCTACTCACCCCTCTCGCTCACCCCGCTCGCTCACCCCTCTCACCCACCCTGCTCACCCATCCCGCTCCCTCCCCCCCTCCCTACCCCCTCTCCCTCCCCCTCTCCCTCCCCCCTCTCGCTCAACCCTCTCGCTCACCCCTCTCGCTCACCCCTCTCGCTCACCCCGCTCGCTCACCCCGCTCACCCACCCCGCTCAACCACCCCGCTCACCCACACATCCTCTGGTGTACTCCTCGCCATTGTCCCGCATGCCATCTCTCTGTCTGTGAACGTTTTTTTTCTTCTTCTGTTCCCAGCCCTCTTTCTCACAAACATACCGTTACAAAAGCTGAAGATGCCACATTTAGCGCGAGGAAACTGTTAGAACTGGACGATACAAAAAAGATCACACCGCAAAGGGCACACCAGGGCCCTGTGTGTCACGTCGACCTTAATAGGTACTCGCAAACAACTGCTTGCTCTGGCCAGTTTATAACCCTGCATGGAGGACATTTGTCTTTGTGGACACAAGTTCCCAGCGCTCACCTTGGAATGTGAAATTTGGAACGCTGATCGGGTTCATGTCCGATCGGACAATTGCGATATCGAATCAACAACATTGATGGTGTATATCATTTATTTCGTTTCTCGACATCAATGGCATAAAACAAAAGGCCGTGTGTAGATTCACCGCCCTACTAGCCGTCGCGCAAACGACGTGCCGACGGGGGCATTAATGTACGCGCATTTTAAGAGGCGCACACAATCGCGAGACGGTGGAGAGAGAGGGGGAGAAATAAAGAGCGAGGAGAAATTGTATATTCTAATGACGGCCATAATTACCATCGATATTGGGAGGCCTGCTCATTGGGCGGCTGAGTAATGAACCCTGTTTGAAATGAACAGCCACACAGACGGAATTATAGATTCGTTGCGCGGAATACAGCCTTGTAAACCCCCCTCCCCCGCTGCCCCCCCCTTCACCCCGCCCCCCCCCCCCAGTCATATTTAAAAAGACAGAGGCTCACCCGCTGCCTCTTATTTATTCCAACAATGCTCGCCTACCAAAGCTGCGTCGTGCACGAGATGACGGATTAAATGGGTTTAATATTTAATTACGGCAAACTTGATTTGTCATCCCAGCCAGGGTGGGCATTGCGGTGAGCGCCACCGCCTCACAATCAGAGAGGGGTGGCCCCCGAGTTGAAATGCCGGTCAGGGGTCAACCCGGGCGACGCTTGAAAACAAGCGCCGCTTTTGGCGGATGTCAACGGCGACTTTTTTGCACCGTGGGGGCACTCGTCCGCTGCCGTGGGAGCGCGAGTAGTTTCCACCACCAGCTTCGGAGCGAAACGTTGGGGAAAAGACGCCGCTCACCGTCGTTCCCGATGGGCGTTTGGAGCGGGGAGACGCCGGCTCTTGCCTTTGGCGTGGCCAACGCGAGCGAAGCGTGCGCCCGCCGCTCGCTTCCTGTCAATCTGCTCTAACTTGCAAAGTGCCACTCCCCGCAGTTGCCGAGGGTTGTCACCCGTCCACGATTCTCCCGGACTGCCCAGGAATTTGGCGTCTGTGCTGGGCTGCCAGGGGCTGATTCGTCCCGAGATCCGGCAACTTTAACAACGAGAAATTGCGCATGTTTTGATTGGCCCAGGCTGACTGCGAAAATGTGACCGGGTTGGCCGGTGATAAGAGACCACATCGGTCTAGAGGGAAAAGTCAAATCCAGATGTTACGCTGACACGAAAGAGATGACGACAGCCAAGTGAGGGACCATTCGAGTCAAATGGAGCAATGAAATTAGGACAGGTATTGGAGGTATTTACTTTTGATATATCCTCCCGTATTATGCACATTTTTAAACACGTCTTTGTTTAAAGGAGTGCACACGTCTTCAAGTGCATTTTGTAGGCTGTTGACTGAGACCTGCCCTCCGAATTACCCATGGCGCTGGGTGTCCGTTGGTACATTTATTGTCCGTAGTTAAATAATTATAATTGGACATTACATTGAACTTTTAACAGGCGATTCGGCGACAACGTCCTCCCTGCGCGCGCTTAAGTTCGTTTGTGTTTTTTTTTTTTAAAGCGAAATTCTTTTAGCGATCTCCAACGGCTCATGACAGAATCATTTGAAGCGATCTCGCAGCCGAGGAACCCTCTCAAGTCCTGATGCTTCGCGCGTCGCCAACGCCCCGTGGCAGAGGAGGATTGCAGAGGAGGATTGGAGAGAAGAGGCCGGTGTAATAAAATAAACATCTTCACACGACCACGCGTGTGTGTGTGTGTGTGTGAAGTCTTCCTGACCCCGAGCTCAAAGCAATGTCCAGTAACATTGAATTGATAAATGGATGATAAATTAATGGATACGCTGCACAATATATATATTTCAAACGTACCTAGCCCTTTGTCAATCCACTGCCGGATGCAGGCCTACTCCATCCTGTGTCATGCTGGTTAGTGCGGGGGTGTGGCAAGATTGGCTAAGGTGTCACTCATCACCGATGCGAGCCGTAAATAACACCGCACAGGTGTGTCTACCTACGAAAAGGAGTGGGCGCGATGCACCGGTACACGACGGTGCGCCGCACCACCACTGCTCACAACACTCCACGCGAGCACCGCCACTTCACGCGGCGGCTCCTCTTCCTGTACCCGCGATGCTTCCGCGGAGGGGAAGCGGCGGCAGTGAGCTCGGGGCCTCACGGCGGCACTCTCACGCTCGCACGCCCACCGCCGTACACAAGCGACGGCGGCGGTCACGGTGGCGGTGGCGGTCACGGTGGTGGTGGCGGTCACGGTGGTGGTGGCGGTCACGGTGGTGGTGGCGGTCACGGTGGTGGTGGCGGTCACGGTGGTGGTGGCGGTCCAGGGAGATTAGCGGGTGGAGTGGACGCACGGCAGCAGAGATGCCGCCACCACGATGAGAAAGGCTTTAACCCAACAGTAAATTGAGGCAGGTGACGTTGACAGCGTTGATAACGCAGCGAGGCCACCTGTAGAAACGAGGGGGCGCGTTGCCGGCTGTGCCCCCCACACGGCCTCGAGCGGGGGGGGGGTGGCGAGGCAGCCGGGCTAATCGCGATTCCCACGGCGTGAGCGCTGGTTATTACCGAGTCCTATTTGCATGCCATTACGCCTTTGCTCCTCTTGATCCAAATCAAGATTTTAAATAACATTGTATTATGCGTTCATTAAGAGCCACGCCACGGGATCTGATGGAAATTGGTTTGTGGAGTGTTACACGGGAAACTGGGTGGATCTGTTGTTTGTCTCTGTGTGTCTGTGTGTGTCTACGCGAGCGTTCACGTGTACGTTTGGGTCCGTGCACACACACGCAACACACGCAGGTGATGTGTGGAGGGAGCGGTGGTGCAGCGGTTTGTGCGCGGACCCGACAACACCTGAGTTTGATTCTCGGCCACGGCTAACGTCAGTGGCGGAAATCTGCACCGATCCCATGCTTCTCTTAGGACAACTCAGCCTTAAAAATCACCTGGTGTGGTGTGTCAACATCAGCACTGGGGAGACAAAGGATGGCCGGGCGTAATGCTGACCGCATCGATGATGTCGCGTGAATATATATTTTTTTACGGTGAGTGAATATTCCAACTCGCCCTGTGGGATGTTGACTGGCATCACGTGATGACCGGGTCTCACGACCATTAACACGACTTTTGTTGTTGTTGTTAGTGTTTATCCTCCTGCAAGCATTGGATGCAACGGGTTAAACTCGCAAATCTTGCATCCTACAACGGTGGGGATTGCAGTTAAAAAATTGCACTGGA